GTAGTAGGCAGGATATAGGTGAGAGCAATTCTTCTTAACTTTACATGAAGGTAACAGCCATTCTTCCTAACCAAGTCAATGAAGCATAGAAATATAGGTCAAAATCAGCATCCGCAATATGCATTCGGTAGAGCAAAACCTAGATACAAAATTGATGCGAGTATAAACAACATAGCACTTGTAGTAGGCAAGATTAAAACGGGAGCAATTCTTCCTAACCAGGTGCATGAACGGACGCACGTACGGACGGACCCAGATAAGAAAAATATATCCCTCGAAATATTTGTAAGGTGAGAAGTATAACGGTTGCATACAAAGTACTCAATAACGCAGAGGAGAAAAAGGTCAGTGTCAAATAAACAGTACATACTCAACACAAGAGGTTAGGAAAAGAAGAAAAAATAGGATACTTTGCTGCATACCTTCACGATAAATGAACTTTGAGCGTGTGACAGGTGTGTCATGTAACACCTCTAACATATCAATATAATAAAAGATTAAATGTATTAAGGTTTAAGTTAAAATTCCATTTATTGAATGAACTAAAGAAGTATATCATACACACAGTAACAAAGGATACGGTTTAGAGCGTTTATAATTTCCTCTTCTAAATACACATACAGGCAGATCTGTCTTTGGAAACCAGACACCGATTCTGCAATACGGATTGAATGACTAATTCAAAAAATACAGATCATGCATGACATATTGAATTGGTAGGGCACTGATTTAGTTTTAGAGTTGATAAGCACATGAACAAATGTACGTTCTTATCTCTCCCGGCCCTTATCTACCTACCTACCCTCCTCGTGTTATCAATTGATCGTTATCATCGTATATGTGTTAGATGAACCGCAAGAGCTTCTTAACATATTGTATAGTCAATAAATGTATTACTGTACCATTAATTATCGGAAAAGAGGAGGGGGAGTAACGAAGTGGTTGAGGCGTCTAACCGTATACGATCACTGTCCTTCCACCACTGCGTGTTGCAGGTTCGAGGCCTAATTTGGGCAGTCACTAAATTCTAGCCGCAGGTCGGTGGTTTATCTCCGAGCATTCGGCTTTCATCCACCAAAAACAAAGGCACATTCTGAAATAACCCTAGCTTTAAATAGGAAGTAAAATACAAACAACCCAAAAGAGTATTGAATAAATGGTAGCCACCTCTGGAACTGATAGTCGCTTTATTATGGCACGTTTCAGATGATAAACTTATTATAAAAAAAAAATCTTCTTTTTGACTAACTTAAGTCCATTTTGTTATATACGGTAGTAATAATCTGCAACTACAAAATAAAGCAAATGTGATAAATATCAACCTTATTTAGTCTGAAACATCCCCCGGGAGCTAGGGGCCGCGGTCAAACAATGAAAATTTGCCACATTGCTTTTAACCTCTTCTAAAATATATGAAAATATTAACGACATTTTGGTTGAAAACATACTTGTAATCACACATTTGATGACTGACACACCTCCCTCTTTGGAGGACTGAGAGGCAGGACAATGATCAAATTATCGCAAGCCAGTTTAACATTTATTCAAGGAACAATGTCGATCCCGAATTTCAAAATTTCAAATACTTTATAAGATATCTTATTTGATGTGAAATCTCGTCACTATATAAGAATTCTTATATAGGAACGCGATTATGACAAAATTAAAAAAAACAAAAAAACGAATCCCTCGATGATCTATTACTAGAAAAAACAGCAGACTTGCTGTCAGCACATGGTTCTGTCGCCATAATGTCGGGACAAAATTAAGGGTGCGTGATATGGCAACCTATGAAAGACGTGCTCCGAATGATGCCCCGAAATTTCATTCTATATAAGATATCTCATATAGTATATGAAAAGGGCCTGTATCGCTCAACTGGATAATAAGCAACCAAGGGAAAATATTTTCATATAATACTGCAACTATTTCCTAATATTGGCTCTTTCTCTCAGCAACACCAGTCCATCATTGGGTATCTTCATTTTAAATACCTTGAAAGTAGATCAAGCTTTCAGCCAAATATTACGACTCCATCGTCGGAAACCCACATTCGATTGTACTAGCATTTATCGACGCTAGTACAATCGAACGTGGGTTTCCGACGTTGTTAACTCTAGACCTGTTTATTCTTCAGAAGAAATCGTTCAAAGGAAATTTGACGGGCGACGACGGACGGACGGACGGACGCCGTACCATGACATAAACTCATTTGCCCTTCGGGCAGGTGAGCTAATAATTCAATACGATATTATAATATTATAAAAGATATGTATTCTCTCATTCAATTTTGATATTGGATATCTCATATAGTATCAGTATCAGATATCTTACGTAGTATATAAAATATATTTTATGTATCATATAAAGTATCTCATATAATATATAAGATATCTCATATAAATTAAATTAAAAATAAAATAAATTCACTTGCAATACGTAATGTTTAAGTGTTTTCTCTGAGTCTATGTTATGATAGCAACCATATTGGTTTTTAGTTTTCCCTAGTAATCATTATAGTTTGTACTAACCCCGAGGAGTTGAAGGTCGGGCCGAAAAGGAGTAAGTTTGACTTTATTACGCGGTATTGATGACCCCAGGTGAGGGGCGGTGTCAAATCCTGGTAATAATTTGGAAGTGTTATAATTTGATCCTGGTTAATTTATTCTAAAAGAGTTCCCGATAGGACGTTCAATCTTAAAACTGTATTATTGGACAAGACACATTTATGAATTTACACACGCTAATGTGCATTTATACACGCTAACGTGCATTTCTAATTGTTTCTACATACATCAAATTAGCAGAATATATTCACTTGCTGTAGCGACCGGAAAATATGACATCAGTAGCGCGCAGTCTGTAGGCGACATGGAATTTAGGCATTATGTGGTATTTGTTTTGTAGTGCAAACGAACAATCTTATCACAATAATAGCGTCATTTAGGTCATGTAATATTATGTTTGCATATTAATCAAAATATGTTATCAAATTGATATTCGAAATAAGGATAAGAGTATTCTGCTCCGTAGACGACACTCGAGCTATACATCTAGATCAGAACCAAATAATACCATGTCCTCAAAAATAAAACCCGAGGAAATGACAACACAAGTATGAGACACACTAATTAGCGTCACAACAATTCTTTACCCGATTTAAACCTGATATCTAAAATTAGTCATTCCATTTTTGTATCGAAAATAACATACAGAAAACATATCAGAAGCTAATGTAAGAAATTATACTAATGCAATCCATAGAATAATAATAACAAATAAATCATATTTATAGTGATATTATACCGTTAGAAGAACCTTTTAGCTTTAGAAATATAAAAACAAAAAACATGTCAACAACATCTGGAAAATGTGGGTTTGATACTTACAGAAATATGAAACAACGTATGCGTACAATTGCTGAAACTTGTCGCATTTTCTAATTGCTATCTGTAGATAATTGACCTGACTACTGTGCTTCGAATGTCTATTACATTCTCGACGTTCATCCTGTACTTAGAGTGGAGATAAAGGGTTGTATCTCTGAAGGGAAAACATCACAGGGGTTTCAATCTAACTGTTCCCCCGGGCCCTGAATCACAGGCTTCAATCTAACTGTCCCCCCGGGACCTGAATCACTGGCTTCAATCTAACTGTTCCCCCTGGCCCTGAATCACAGGCTTCAATCTAACTGTTCCCCATTGCCATGAATCACAGGCTTCAATCTAACTGTTCCCCCTGACACTGAATCACAGGCTTCAATCTAACTGTTCCCCATGACACTAAATCACAGGCTTCAATCTAACTGTTCCCCCTTACACTGAATCAAAGGCTTTAATCTTACAATTCTTCCGGACCCTGAACCACAGGCTTCAATGTAAATGTTCTTCCGGGCCCTGAATCGCATGTTTCTATCTAACTGTTCCCCCGTGGTCTAAATCACAGGCTTCAATATAACTGTTCTCTCGGGGCCTGAAACACAGGCTGCAATCTAACTGTTCCCCCGGGCCATGAATCACAGGTCTCAGTTGTTCCCCAAATATTGTAATCCTTAATACAACAGCGTCAATACACAAGGTAATACCTCAAAATTGATATGTTTAGTCACCAACAGGCAGCGAAATCGCCAAAACAACTACTTTATAAAGAAGAAGGATTTCTTGTAAACAGGAAGTTTGGTCAATGAGCAAGGTATCGTGGATAAAACCAAGTTTCCTTTTAAATAGTAAATAAAGTCTGTTTTTTGTTATACCCAATGCGTGATTAATATGTTTTTCGTAGAATAATCTATCAAAATATGTGTATCTATCGTAAGGTGATAAAAGGTATAGTTTTGACACATAAAGAATAACAGCATCCCATTTACTTTGTTAGTTAGGGTTTTGCGTTAATTATTTCGATGAAGATCGAAGAGAAACTAACTCAGGGACGACTGTTCATTTTCCAGGTAACACACCACAGGGAATTCCATTCGAAACAGAAAGCATACATCCTGCTTTAGACTATCTAACAAAATTACAATCTCTCACAAATCACACATAACACATACCTGCATATAACATGTTATACATAGGTAACACGAAATAGCGGAATAGCTTGTTGTCGGCATTTTAATGCCAGCCAATCAACATCTTTAAAAGGGCTAAGTTGTTGCCTTTGTCCAAACCGTCACTACATCAGATCCAGTAACTAGTAATTATTAAGAACAAAATATTTGGTGCGATAACATTGCTAGTGAGAAAACGGATTATTGTTATTACAAAGTGGACTAACTGTATGTAGTTCACGGTAGTAATAATTTGTCATGAAGTATGCTGATCATACCCGACATGGAGGTGTTTAAGAGATCCATTTTATTGATTTTTTTAATCCGACCAGCAAATACATTAAAACAAACATAACATGAAACATATACATTATGTAACTTCATTTGAATATTCATCTTTATCTTCTGCTACAATTTCCTAGTACTTATATAGGCTAAATGTTGTCATTTGACGAGTACAAATGTGGAGCTACTCAAGCGATAGAAGCATACATTCCAAACCAGGAGGGTGTGGCAATTTAGGTCACTGCACATGTGTGTACTACTGACAGTGAACAGGTAAAGGTACGTATCTTGATCACTTTGTTTTGGTGCATATTCAGATTAACTCATGCGTGGTAAAGACCTATTTCAAATAGCAATGCAATTTATAAACAAAGGTGAATATGTTATTGTGAACATATATGTTTATTAATGACTAACGTAAATAATCATGGAAAAAGTCGAACCAACGGCCAACGCTATACAATATACAGTATAGCTACCTAAACCGAAAGTAGATCACATGTAGTCGCCATTTGCAAAATTCAAACATACTGCAGTTATACTGTACCTTGTACAAAGATAAAACTAAATAACTGCCAGTCATATACATTATGCAGATTCAGTATAAGCATCATATACATGCTTATCACTTTATTGATCAACATTTTTGAGTAATGCGACGAATCACGCAGCAGAAATGCTGAAATAGTCAATTCCATAGATTAACACACACATTTAATTTAAATATGATACCGTTGAAATAAAACGTTACAGTCCGAAATGTGTAATGCATCATAAGCCAAGGCAGATTAATATAGTTTTATCAATATTCAACCAGGACGAAGATAAGGATATACGACATAAATGAGGAACTTTCGAAATAACTGGGTTTGCCCTGTAACTTTCTAAAATCTTTAGATAGGAACACTCAATAATTTCGGTAAGGGGATAATTACTCCGCGTGAAAGGTTTAAAAATTCAACTGATCAATGATAAGTTTCCCTTCATCAAATACATTTAAGCTAATTAAATGGGATCCTTCTAAGAAGAAAATTGATAAACACATTATTAACAGTAATATGCAACAAAATAAAAAAAAGTTCTTATTTTATTTTTATTTTATCAATTGTTGTATATAAATGCTAGCGGTTTCATGTATTTATACCAGGGGTCTTAATAATAAATAGAGTGATAAATCATTACAGAAAGGTCTCAAACTGGACTTCGCATTGAGTATATCTAACAACTTGGTGAACTTGTACTGTTTACCATTCTATTACAGTTATCGACCCTAGAGTATAGGCGTTTTGGTAGTGATGACTTTCAGTTGTCAAGATTCTTTTAAGATGCCTCCAATGTCCGAGTTAGAAAATATTTCCCTTGTTAGAGGAGAAGTACAACGTTTTTACAAAGTGCTCAATAACTCTGAGGAGAACAATGTCAATGTCAAAAGATACACTGTGCACTCAACGCAAGAGGTTAGGAAAGAACGAAAAGATACACTGTACACTCAACGCAAGAGGTTAGGAAAGAACGAAAAGACACACTGTACACTCAACGCAAGAGGTTAGGAAAGAACCAAAAGATACACTGTACACTCAACGCAAGAGGTTAGGAAAGAACCAAAAGATACACTGTACACTCAACGCAAGAGATTAGGAAAGAACCAAAAGATACACTTTACACTCAATGCAAGAGGTTAGAAAAGATCCAAAAGATACACTGTACACTCAACGTAAGAGGTTAGGAAAGAACCACAAGATACACTGTACACTCAACGTAAGAGGTTAGGAAAAAACCAAAAGATACACTGTACACTCAACGCAAGAGGTTAGGAAAGAACCAAAAGATGGGGCATTTTTAATATCTTCACGATTACTGGATTTACTGAATGTGTTACATGTGTGTCATGAAATACATATGGAAGTATTGATAAAATGAAGTATTGTTTTTATTTAGGTATAAGTTCAAATAGCATTTATTTTAAATGGTCTAAAGAAGTATATCTTGCATACAATATCAGAGGTTGGTGTTTAGAGCGTTTATAATCTCCTCTTCTAAATACACATACAGGCAGATATGTCTGGAAACCAGACACCGATTCTGCAATACGGATTGAATGATAAAAAACAATTTAAGACATATGAAGTATGACATATTGAATTGGTAAGATACTGATTTATTTTAACTGTCGATAAGTACATGATATATTTAGATACAATATACAAATTCACGTCCTTATCTCTCCCGTCCCTTATCTACCTACTCTACCTACTCTACCCACCCAGCAATCTCATGTGTTGACTTGAACGTTATCTTCGTAAATGTACAACAAAACGCAGAGTTTCTTTACGTAGTGCATAATCAATAATTGAAATACTGTTCGTACCTTTTTTTGGTATAAAATTAAAGCGTGGTGTAGCAAAGTGGTTAAGGCGTCTGACGTCTACGATCACTGACCTTCCACCACTGTATTGCACGTTCGAGGCCTTCTTCGGACAGTCAAAAAATACTAGCCGCAGTCTGGCACATTCTGAAATGACCCTAACTGTAAACTGTAAATAGGAAGTGTAACACAAACAAGCCAAATTAGTGTTGAATAAAGCTTATATCAGTCCACGAGGTGGCTGCAATTGATTATGGCACGTTTCACAAGAAAAACTTGTATATCATTTTTGCTTATTTAAGTGCATTTTCTTTATACCAGTAGTGATGATCTGCATCTACAAAATAAAATAAATGTGATAAATATCAACTATATTTAGTTAGAAACATCCCCAGGGAGCTAGGGGCCGCGGTCAAACAGGAAATTGGCCATATTGCTTTTAACGTCTTCTCTGGTACAATATGAGAAATATTTACGATATTTGGTTTGAAATATCCTCTTATTCACAAGGCGGACGGACCTCCCTCTTTGGAGGACTGAAGGGCGGGACAGTGATCATATTGCTTTAAAAGTCTTCTCTGAGTTTATGTTATGATATCAACCATATTGGTTGGTGATTTCATCAGGTGATATTTCTAATTTGTTCTTACCAAGGGAGTAACCCAAGGGAGCTGAAGGTAGGGGTCTAAAAGGAGGAATTTGACTTTATCACGTGGTACTGATGATCATAGGGAGGCGAGGGGCTACTTTAATGCGTTTTAACCATATCTTTCATGAACAGCAAAAGATACTGCTTCTTTCCTATATTCTTAAATTCATAAAATATTCCATGTTAAAGTGTAAAAAGTGTACACGAGTAAATTTTAAACGCTGGCTTTCTGGTGAAAATGACAAACTGTGTATTACTATGTGGATATGATTTCAACTCTTTTAGACAATGGAACCGGAAGCTCCACGCAAGGACCGTCTGATGGTAGCCGGAATTGATTTTGGAACAACTTATTCAGGTTATGCTTTCTCCTTCCGGGGGGAGTATGAGGAAAACCCAGAGAAAATACAGGTGAACCAAAATTGGATTGCCGGGGGCGCCCTGGTCTCCGTTAAAACGGCTACATGTATCCTCCTGGATCAAGACAAGAAGCTCATTGCATTTGGTTACGAGGCAGAAGATAGCTACAACCAACTTTTAGAAGACTCTGAAGACGATGACATCGACGACAGAACATACGAGAGATATTACTACTTCAAACAGTTCAAAATGTCATTGTACAACTGTAGCGAGGTAAGTCTAACAAACAAAAGTTACAAAATGATAATCGTACCCGCTCTGGGGTCTTCAGTGTCGTTTCATAGCGTTTTGAAAACTGTGCGCTGGTGAATAGGAGGTAACTTTTGTTTGACACCCCAACAGATACATACAGAATTTGTATGTCTACTGTTAATCTTGAGACAAACCTTGGTAGTTGTGTTTATATGTTTACATGTATATACATGAAATGAAAATAAAGAACAGAAGGAGAGATATCTTAAGGTAGTTTTCCGTCAGAGTGTCATGTGATGATATTGCCCAATTAACACTCCTGTATCATTTACCACCCTGGCTTAACAGCAGGTTTGGTTAATACGACTAGCCTGCTGCATCTATTTGTATTATGATTAGTAGCACATGATATAGACTCCTACAAAGTGCGTTTTGAAGTTGAATTGATATGCTGCCCGATTGGATAGTTTCGCCCTTAACACTCATCGATATGGCATTTGATTTGTTAACTTCAACATAAAAAACAAACTCAATTGCATTTCATTTTAATACTATGGGTAGTTTATAATTTTACTGAATCTATATTGTTTTTGAAGGGCCTTTCTAGGGAAACCATGATAGAGGATGAAACTGGGAAGAAGCTCCCGGCAATGCTGGTAATATCCATGTCTATCGGTTACATGAAAGATCACCTACTAGCTCTCATCAACAAGAGATGTATTGGTGCGGAGGAAAACGATATCCACTGGGTCATCACCATTCCTGCCATCTGGGATGACTCCGCGAAGCAGTTCATGCGCGAAGCTGCTGTCAATGTAAGCCTTCGTGTGACGATTGTTGATAACTTACTGTTAATATCTCATTATCTGTAGCTATTGCTTTTACTAAACTTTCTGCAAATCTCTCTGTTTCTGGGACTATAACTTTTACTATTACACCCCGTAGATATCTCAGTTTCCGAGACTATTCTTTCAATTTTCGAAACTATTTCATTTCAAGACACTTACTGTAAATCTATCAATTTCCGTTTTCCTGACTATCACGTTTATTATCATTTTCTGTAAATCTTAATTACGTTTGCTATCACGTATTTATTAACTAACGTTTGCCATCACTTAATGTAAATCCGTCAATTTCATAATGTTTGTTCGTAAATGGAATATATATTACATGACATGATTAAATAACAGCCTTGTTACCGTAAGACTTTTCCGATACTAAGAAGGACTCACATGGCATGCTAGTGATTTAATCTCCTATCGCTAGCGGATATCTCATATCGACTAAGAGTGCTACCTCACTGTAATACCATGGTATTGACACCCAGCACTGCATTCCGACCAATTACATAATGCTGACAGGTTTACAAGTTGTTGCTATTTCCTTAAATGCTGAACGTCAAGCAGGAAAAAAGAACAGCTGTCATTTGGTTTTGACTTTGGTTTATCTCGGCCTGGGGACAGAACAAATTGCCTTCCTTACGATCAAAAAGAGTCCAAATGTTGCAAATGGTGTAGCAGGTTCATTGTGATAATGTTTGTGACCCAAAGTAGAGAGCACAAAAACAAATCCTCGATTCTGCTGGAGTTCACACATTAGTTCTCTCTTTCAACATACAGTCGGTAACATCTTGCATATTCTTTTCTCAATCATCAACACGGATTTTCTAATTTCAAGACTAAAAAACGAGTCTTTTGGCTCATAAAATGATGTGAAAATGAAAAAGAGTATATTGCACCAGTTAATCAAATAGCATACGGAAGGGCGAATTCAACACAATGCAAAGGCATTTGAACGGGTTCATTAATGGGAAGAATTATACGACTACATAGGATAAATATACTGATATTGATACCTTTAAACAGATAATGTTATAATTATATGACACTATGAAAAACTGTTTCCTTCCACAGTGTGGCATGCGATCTGACCAGCTGTCCTTTGCACTGGAACCGGAAGCAGCTTCGCTCTATTGCCAATTAGTCAAGGTAGTATTGTCTGAGGAAAGCACACCGATAGATGCAGGTGCGATGAAGAAAGCATTCAGGTCGTCAGGAGCGGGCACAAAGTACATGATACTTGATCTTGGAGGTAAGACTAATTTGTGCTTCAGGGTTATAATGCATTCATAAATTAGTTTCTTAAGCGTGACATAAAAAAATTAAAAGAGGTTAAAACAGAATATAACATTAACTATCATTTACGATGGCAACCCCAGCAGTTAGTACAAGTACCAAACGTCAGTTATAGCTGGAATATAAAGTGTTAAATACACATCTTTAGTCAATATAGAAAACCATACTTTCTTTTTAACAACATAGTTTCCTACTTTTGATGTGACGTTGTATAAAAACAGAATTTTCGCTTTCAAGACCATTCCATTTTTGGGATTAAAAACATTAATACCAGCATTGATTTATACAGATTACATTCTTATTTAAAAATAGTATGGCGAATATGATTATTGCACAAAGGATTGGACGCTTCAGTTATTACGAACTGAAATTATCAATGCCTGCTCGATAATAGTGAACAATGGAATCAATGTGATAGCATAGATATACAACAAAGGTGAAATAATGATACAAATGTGACGTACCATAGACAATAACAGATAGCAGTAATAAACTATATGAAATACATTTTTATCGGTAAAATTAAAAACTATTGAAGCTTATGCCTTATGAAACTTATGTCTTCAATGCAGAAGGGATATACGGAAACTGTTATCACTTATATCATATTGACAAATAAAAACGTTATTTTATATTCAATGCATTCGTTGTAAGGTCTTGTTAAGCCTTGTTATTTAATATGATGTCATTAGCATCTGGCCACCAATACTCTAATATTTCGCCACCAAGCCCCCTCACAAATATACCCCTTTTTACGTAATTTGTATCGCTGTAACTAAGGATGAATTTAATAGACTATTTCATGATTTGATCTGTACCATCTAGTAAGTGGTGGAAAGTTGCCAAATCTGTTTTAAACTTTAGTGATAAACTGAAAAGTATACCACCAATATATGACGAAGGAATAAGCATTCAACACCCAACTGATAAAGCTGTGACTCCAAATACATACTTTTCATCTATAGCAACTTCTTCTCCTGATCTTGAACAATAACCTCCCTTGGTTAATAATTTTCCTTCTAAACTAGATAATATTTTTATTTCTGAGCAAGATGTTTTAGACCAATTACAAATCCCTAATGATAAAAAACCGCCTGGTCCAGATGAGATGATACCAAAAATTATTAAGCAGCTTCGTTCTTCCATTTCATTATCGCTACAATTGCTATTTAATAAAACGATAGAAACTGGCAAAATACCAACATCCTGGAAATTGGCAAATGTTAATGCTATTTATAAGTGTTAAGGGTCACAGAATGAAGTTACAAACTATAGACCAATATCAATCACATTATGCTTTAGTAAAATTATTGAAAAAAATATATTGAAAAATTTATATAACTACCTTATTGATAATGAAATCATATCCGAACATCAATCTGGATTCTTACCAGGTGACTGGACTGTAAATCAGCTTTTATCTATATATCACATAATAGTAAGTAATTAAGATAAGGGTAAAGAAGTGCGATTTGTATTTTGTGATGTGAGCAAAGCTTTCGATAGAGTATGGCATGATGGTCTTATATTCAAACTAGAGTCATGTGGAATAAAAGGAAAATTGTTATCATGGTTCAAAAACTATTTATTTGGAAGAAAACAGTGTTTACAGAGGGCCACTATTCAAATTTTACTAGTGTTCATGCTGGAGTTCCTCAGGGATCAATTCTTGGGCCTCTTTTATACTTACTATACATTAATGATACAACATATCAAGTTAATAATAATAATAAATTATTTGCTGATGATACTTCCTTATACATGATTATTGATAATAATCCAATACAAGCAGCAGAAAGTCTAACAAAGGATCTTCAGAATATAAGTACATGGGCAAAAAAGTTGGACTTGAAATTTAATGCTTCAAAAACTGAAACTGTTATTTTAACTAGGAAAAAAGAACCAAATCACCCACCTATTTCTTTCTTGAATGAACCACTTACTAACAATAGATTTCACAATCATCTTGGTCTTACTTTCACTGAAGATGGTAAATGGGCTGAACACATACAAAAATCCTATGATAAGGCATATAAAAGAATAAAAATTCTTAGAAGTCTAAAAATAAATTAGATAAAAAATCACTTAATATAATGTATACCTCTTATATTAGGCAAATCTTAGAATATGCAAGTGTAGTATGGGACAATTGTACAGAACAGGAAAAACACTTCTCGAATCAGTCCAATTAGATGCAGCCAGGATAATTACAGGATTACGTCGAGGAACGTCTCATGTGAAACTTTATGAAGAATTAGAATGGGAAACATTAGCTGAAATAAGAAATAAATAAAAATAATAATTAATGTATAGAATTCTGCATAATGACTCCCCATCTTACTTATTAAATATTATAGATCCATTTATTACTGATATTACAAGTACAAGGTATGAGTTAAGGGAAAATAGAATTTTTAATCCGCCTCTCTGTCGAACAGATAATTATTTTAACAGTTACTTTCCTGCCACTCTCAACAAGTATAATCAAGTCCTTATCTCAGTTTATAAAACACCTAAAAAACCTTAACAAACCTGATAATGATGTAACCCTCATATTTAAATATTCAGGATGCAGACAAATTAATATTATTTTATGCCAACTAGGCAATAAGGCCAGTAACTTGAACTTTGACCTTTATAATGATCACTTGTCTGGATCACCTACTTGTGATTGCAGACAGGATAAAGAAACCCCCTACCTCTACTTTTTTGAATGTATAAATTTTAATAACCAAAGACAAGTTCTGATGAACTCCTTACCGAATGATGATCATATGCATAACAATATAAATGTCTTACTCAATGGTTGTTCACAATGTAGTGATGCTATTAATGCTACTATACTTGAAAAAGTATCAGTCTTTATCACTGATACAAAGGGATTCTTTAACCACCATTAGTTGTTACTGTACTGTGCATAACAAAATTCATCTTGCTAACAAGACTTTCTATAAAAAATAATTCTTATTTTATAAATTTATAAAATAAATTGATGAATGTAGGTGGTTAGATGATGAAAAAAATGATGACTTCTGCTGAAAATATTTAACTACAACATTGTATTACCAAAAATCACCTAGATTTGCATGGCGAGGATCCAAGTCTGCTGGGGTCAGAATATATATATATGGTCAGAATCCCCAGTAGCTTGTTGATCTCTTGCTGTCTAACATTGGGGGGATCCCTGGTCTCAATAAATGAGGCTTATTTATTTATTTATTTATTTAATTAAAACTTCTGTGGGAGTTACTCCCCTTGCATCACTATTTCTGTAACTACTTCATGTAACATTTCTCTCTCTTTCTTTCTATATATAGTTTATATTTGTTTGTAATTCTGGCTAAGAGAGGACTTATATAGGCATAGCCTGTTGTCCAATCCTTTTGATTTTTCAATTTCAATTTACTGAAATGAAAAAAAATGATGTGAAATTAAAACTAAATAGGTATTTTTCTCATCAATTTCTTATTAGGAGGAACAGCGGACATAACAGTGCACGAACGTCAAGTGGATGAGAGCTTGAAGGAGATACACGAGCCCTCGGGGGGACCCTGGGGAGGCACAGCTGTTGACAGGGAGTTCTTAAATTTTCTGATGGAAATATTTGGAAAAAAGTCAGTAGAGAACTTCAAAAGAAAATATATGACTGATTATGTGGAATTTCGCAGGAATTTTGAGACGAAAAAACGAACAATCACACCGCAAACTGATGGAAAGGTGATGCTGGTACTTCCTCCGTCTTTCAAGGAGACATTCGAAGAAAATTCAAACATCTCCTTTAATGATGCTCTTAGCAAATCCAAATATTCAGGAAAAGTGCAGTGGGTGAAAGACAAGTTGAAAATTGATGCAGATGTTGTGAAAGGCTTTTTTGAAGTACCGATACAGCAAATTGTCAGTCATGTTAGGAAGCTACTAGAAAAGATAGGGAGAATTGACATGATTTTGATGGTAGGAGGATTCTCAGACTGCGGCCTCGTCGAACAAGCGATTCGTGACAACTTTTCTGATGTTTCGATTTTAAATCCAGAAGATAGCGTCCTTGCAGTTTTGAAAGGCGCTGTCATATTTGGCCACAAACCTATGGCGATTGTATCCAGAGTTGCAAGGTACACATACGGTTATGAAGCTTGGCCGACGTTTGACCCGAAAGTTCATCCACAAGAGCGAAAAGTAAGACTGGGAGACGTCGATTGTTGTCAAGGTGTCTTCCAGCCTTACATACGACTGGGCACTGAAATCGATTGCGGTGACTACATAACCTCTACACATCGACCGGTATCTGACGAACAAAGTGACATGGCCATTAACATTTTTATTTCTGAGAACGTGGCTCCAAAATATGTCGAAGATCCGGATGTGCGAAAACTTGGAACCCTAAAACTTCCGCTTCCAGCTTACAAGCCAGGATTGAACAGAAGAGTACAAGGACGTCTTCATTTTGGAGCAACGGAAGTGATTATTGAGGCCAAAGAGGCGGAAACAGGAATTATTCACAAGGCGACATTTGACTGCTTAAAAAGAGAAACCAATTAACATTTCCTTGATCGATGTTTGGCAAACTGATGGGATGACTTGATACTAACTATGATATGAACAGTGGAGCCTTACTTTAGCTAATTATTCATAAATCCTAAAGCTGATACTAAAGATATAAAAACTAGTCTTGACTGAATATAGTATAAAAATGAAATGTGACCCAATTATTAATCATAAGAATATTCTTTTATGGGGATTGATGTATTTATGTTATAATTCAGGCGTTGTGATTGAACTTTGTTAATTGGATGTGTTTGTTTGTGTTAGCTAAGTTTTTTTTTATTGGGGCTGGATTTATTACGGCCTACTGTTGCAAAAGAAGAATTTCAATCAGAGAAACTATTTTGTTAATTGGAACTATAATGCGGTTAAAATGATCAAACAATGCTACGTAAGATGTGGAATTACAAAGGTTTCTTATCAGTTCCTCTAATGGTTTTAATAATAACATTTTAACAACACGTTAGTTGTTTGTCAACGTTTACATTGTTGCTGGTACAACAGATGTTAGTGCAAACCACAAACATTTAAATATTGAAAGGTAAATTTCGGATACTGTTCAAAATTACAGGACTGAAAATAAGTTAACTAAGTTGATAAACTCATATCCTTGTTGATTTGAATTAAAGTGCACAAGATAAGTGATTGGTTCAAAAACTGGCGTTCACTGAGGACACCCACGCTGTAAGGCAGGTAAATCAATAGTTTTCAAATCCTATCGTGAAATTCCAGACTATATTTTAAATGCTAACCTCTGCGTTACCAACAACACCGACAGTATAACTCCAAACAGAATGCAACGTAATGAATAATGATGCCTAATGATGTTCGAAACTTATTATATTGTTCAAATAAGATTTTACATATTTTTATGTATATTTGCTTACCTATGACGACTCTGCAAGCTGAGTAACATTAGAAAAACAAGTACTTATTGTAATGGGGGACCATTACAGACGTCCCCAAAACTGCCCCCTTCGTCGCAAAGATGCATCAGACAATATACATACTAAATTTGAGTTACATCGCACAATATCTGAATTGCGACCAATCAGAATGGTTTGTGTGGTTGCTATGGCAACGTTACCTATGCGATTGAATTCGCAGTCCCCTAATCCCCCTATATACCAATTGTCATCAAAATCGAACAATATCTAAATTTCGACCTATCAGAAATCTCCGTTTGGTTGCTATGGTAACAAATTATATGCAGTTTTATTCGCCGTCCCCTTATACCCCTATATACCAGTTTTCATAAAAATCGAACAATTTCTAAATTTCGATCAATCAGAGGCCAGGAATTGGCAGTCATTTTGTTGAATCACAAAACAAACACCGCAGTTGTATCTGTAGTGCCATACTTCACATATGCACAAAATTTCATCCAAATCGGAGAGTATTTAAATTTTGACTAATCAGAGGGGAAAAAACGGCGGCCATTTTGTTAAAATGTGAAATCTAAGCTATTGAAGTGATCATTATCCTATGATACACCTACAAACTAAATTTGATCAAAATTGGACAATATTTTAATTTCGACTAATCAGAGTACGTAAATGGCGGCCATTTTGTTATATCACAAAACAAACACCGCAGTTGTTTTGGTAGTGCCATACTTCACCTATTTAGCAAATTTCATCAAAATCGGACGTCTAAATTTCGACCAATCAGAGGCCGCTGTCCGGCTGACCAGTCGGGTGACCGATCGAAAAACGAAAATACTCTTGCGCACTGAGTGTCATACACGAACACTCATGTAAAGTTTCGTTGAAATCCGCCCTACGGTTTTTGAGAAACATGTCGGAAACCTCGTTGGTAGGAGAAAGTGGAAGAAATAAGAATAATAATTATAGAAAAAATAATAAGAAGAAACTGAGTAAAAACAATATGTCCCCAGACTTTGTTTTGGGGGATATAATTATATAAGTTAAATATTTCGTTCGTATTTCCCTACTAAAAGGGATAGTCTTATAAAAAAATAAGTAGGCACGATAGATACTAGAAAAATATGTAAGTGCTCAATTTGAAAGAATAATGACATATACAGCAGTATCAAGCTTTACTCTAAAGATACTACAATGTGCACATACTATTAAGCTGGCCCCATCCAACATATAAGAGAAAGGAAGAGAAAAGATTATCTTACATAGATCATATGATCATATTCTTATTATTGGAATAGAGGTGTTGCGCACACGTTTACACATTAAAATGTACCAAATTAGATGTGTTGAAAGCTTACTGTATTGCAATTAACGAAATGATTAGAGGATAGATGACATTTGATTTTAAAGAAATGTTTGGTGTTGGTATAGAGCCTTTCACATAACTGATTGTTTTATAGTATATACTTCCGTCTTAAATTTTAGAAAAATGTTTAAGTGTAAATTTTAGCACTAAGTGTTGTAGTGTTAATTATATGTGAAATGTTTACCCAGGTTTTTTTTTACCTATTTAAGAAGTCTCAATGATGCCTATTCTTGTCATAAAGATCCGAGGTATACTGTGTTTTGTTTTACTATCCTCGTCCGCTGTAGAATTTTGTAATATAGTATTGTTTTTCGGCCAATACAGTAAAGTTATTGTGCATTTATTGCTGTTATTTTTTTATACGGTATTTTATTTTATTTACAATGGCCTGTTTACTGATTCTGATATTTTTAATAATTTATATAATAGAATAATATTTTTTTTTTTAAATATATTTTTTTATAATGGAATATAATGAAAAACTAAAAAAAAGTAACTATTTTTGACTAAAATAATAATGTAATTTTAACATAGAAAGGTCAAAGTTCAAACCATTTATTTCCATGATGTCCTGGCAATAATTCACATATGTATTTATGTATTTTACGCCTACTGCCTTAACTACAAATCCTTTAAATATTAAATGAACAACATACAGTACGAATAACAAAATGACAAATGGTCAGAGGTCAAAGTGCAATAGTTTGTTGTCCCGGCTACATGCACGACTGTTCACTGTATTGGTGCTAGAAAGCATTACACAAACACGTTATTAAGGAAACATAAAAAAGTTAAAATCATAAGATGAGAACAAAGATTTTTTTTTCTTTTTTTTTCTCCATTTTTTAAAAGTTGGTCTTACGTGTTTTTTTGTGCGTTTTTCTACTCCATTTTTTTCAACAAGAAAAGAGACCCACTAATATTTATAAAGGGAACATATTTGACACCCATCATATATATTCAACTGGTTAATATGTATTAGTTATGGATGAACAGTCGTGACAAATAGATGGTTACTAGTGCAGAAATTTGGTTTGTGGGCTTTTAGAAGTCTTAATTTAAGTGAAAATTTAGTTCGAAACCCAAAAATATTGCGATTTCTTTACATTCTTAATAAGTTTGTTTTGTTTTCCTTTTTGTTTGTTTTCTTCTTACATCCTTTTTAAAATTGTTTTCCTTGCAAAATTTGTAACTCGTGGTGGACATAGTAGCTATTGTTTTTGTCATTATATTCATATTTACTATAACCAGATTATTGTTTAGTGTTGTTTGTTAATTCAATCATACAACGTCTCGTACTACATGTCTATGCTTGCTTCCATTTTTGTTTGTTCGAGTGGGGGGAGGGGATATGTGTTCCTTTTGTCCATGTGTGTTGATGGGGTGATGAAGGGTAGAAGAGGGGAGGGTTTTGTGTTGTTCCTACAATTCCTATAACGTGATCAGAAATCCTTCAACCAACCATGGATAATCTCATTTTGCTGTTTAAATAAAACTTTTTTGAAAGAAAGGTTCAAAATTTTGTATGTTCTGTAAAATCGATTGTCATTCCACCTTAAGGGTTCCTGTACCACTGCCAAAAACTAAAGCTGTGAATTTAAAACTGTTTCTTTTTCTATTTGCATAAGGAAGCTTTGATCATTTGATCATACAAAAACATATCAATCAACAACGGTGTTTTGTGTGAAAAAGCCAGCGCGGCGATACTAGGAATCGAACTATCAAGCTCAGGTTGGGCTACCCGAGCAATGTTTGTACCGTTGCCTTATGTCGCTACAATTATGCCAAAATCTGAGAAGAGGTTACTGTACATACGAAAACCAAAAGGAATTATCTAGTGTTTCGCCTGTAGTGGGGCATCGATCCTTAAAGAGATATATAACAGAATCCAAATATCAACTCAGAATGTTATACGTTCTGAAATAAGCAGGACAGCCTGACGAACAGAACATCAACAAGAGTGAAATATAAAAAGTTGTCATAAAGTTTGGTGATCATTATTAGTAGTGGTGTACATAAAGTCTCTAATGGAAGGGTCAGAGGAAAGTGAAACTAGTCCCCATGGGGTTACTGATGTTGTGTTAAATTATTATTCTATCAATAACATAGTTGTCGACCAAACAAAATATTAGAACAAAACTTAAAAAAAAAAAAAGAAGTAAAACAACTACCCTTTCATGTCTCCAAAGCCTTCCCGGATTATTGATATGATTTATAGTGATGTTTTGGAGCTTTTTAAAGCGTTTTTAACGATTTATTGAAAAAAATAGGGTGCTCTATTAAAACAATAAAGTTAAACCTACCAGTTTTCTTTTTTAAAATGTCAGCTATATTTCATGCTACACCAGACTAGTACAGATATCTATTCTATTTTTGTCACATGACAAGTACAAAGGTTGAGCTATCAACTGATAAACAATTTTAAGTCGGGCGGATGGGTGCTCAATCAAGTCGATGAACATGTGAATGTAGTTGACAGTGAACAGACAAATGTAAGATTCTTGAACTTATATTCTTATGGTTATTCAAATTATCGTCATACAAGATAAGGCACATCATAAACAAAACTAATGGTTACATGTATTAGCAATCAAATCATGTGAAAGAATGATCCACTTTTTTATGTGAATACGCCTACCACGAGTAAAATGCATAGTTTATTAGTAAATGCATGGCTATATCAATAAAATTTTATTAAATACGAATGTCATTGAGAATATATATGTATATAGTGATAAATGTAAATCAGTAAGTGATGTTATACTGAAAAATCTACAAAAGCAATATAAATTGTACAGAAGTCAACCTAAACCGAAAGTACATCACATACGGTAGCCATTTACAAATATTATTGTAAAAGACAATAGTTGTCAGCGATTTAAACTGCATAAAAGCAATATAACTACCATAGTTTTTGTTAACACCAACGAAATAATAATTAAAATTTCTGCTCTGAATACAAAGTAGAAAAATACTGATAGTGCACTATATATATAATTTGTGTGTAATTTGACTAATTAAATACAATAATACAAAAACAATTAGTTCAATAGATTATCAGACACATTAAATATGAGACATTTATCAAAGTAGGATTTAGGGGGTGGGTGGGTGGTGGTATGGGGTCGGTTTGTAGGTGTATAGGATGGTTTTTAGTGATCCTGACATCCTTCTACTCTTTAATATACGATGCAAATGAACCTACCCACCCTGCCTATCGACCCATTTTTTTAAATGAATAATGCAAATTGGAAGAAATCTGCCTCCCTCCCTCCGACATACCGACCGATCGACCTTAATTGTTGACCTGAGCTGGCTTTCTTTTGTTTTATATACTTGTATCCTTAACAGACGAAGTAAGTTTTTCTCTTATAGGTTATCCTGATTTGGACATTCATCATACCTGCAAATACTATACTCGCAAAAAGAGCGAAGTAACCGAAGATGTAAAAATAAACCCTGATTCAAAATGGATAAAACTAAGGCAAAATATAAACAAAGGAAAGATTTGCATGGACACATTTGAAAACGTACGAAGAGAATAACACTAGGTGTTTCATGCTGCTTTATGGATGTTCCGTTACCTATCATTTGTAAATTTAGGTAAATACAAGTAATGATAAAGTCCTCGTAGCGAGAGCGGGGGAAGTGAGAACAGTACAAGGCACACTAATTAGCATAAAAAAATCTACCTTCATTACCTGTAAACAGGTATACCTGATGCTGTCCACTTCATGCTGTAAGAGCATCTGCATCACATAGATATTTGGATATTTGGATTCTCTCTTCTTTCTACCAACCATATTGTTTCCTTGCGTCTTGCTTGGCAACATCTTTGCCCTCAGTGTTGAATGTTCGCCCAAGTG